ACTGGATAATCGTTGGATACCGAGGTCATTTCTAAGCAAGACAGAAACCTGAAACATTGATTACTAAGCATAATCTCAAGTTCTATGCTCTTGCTGCATATTTTTGTTTATTACCTAGAGGCTATGTCTGTGGGTGTGTTAATGAATGTGTGTGTCTCTACCACTTGGAGAAGTCGTGTAAGGGATGTTTGTGGCTATGTAAAGTTGTGCTATGTGTGTTCGTGAGCTCTCCTAGCCTAAAATGCTGATGTGTGATGGGCAGTTGTCAATTATTCGCTGCTAGTTTTCTTTGTGAAATGGAAGTAACTTTGGTTCAAAGGTATCATTAATATAATATGAATGAGACTTGACCAATAGTAATGTTATCAGCTGGAACAGAACTCAGGTTCAGCTGCTCATCGCTCAGAAGTCAGTGTTCCAGAGACAAGGGTTGGTGGAAGAAGAAAGATGCTTTATTCAGGAAGCTGGCAACCTGGGAAGATGGCGGACTAGTGTCCCCAAAACCATCTCCCAGTTGCCAATTAGAGGGAAAAGGGGTTGATAGGGAAAAGACGGGAAGTCTCTGGGCTGTGCCGGTGGGGGCTACATGCAGAGTAGCACAGTCAGCTCTGACCATCATCTTGAAATTGGTCATGCAGTGGTGTGGTCGGTGTCATGTTGATTGTTTCAGGCACAGTTAATCTTCAACTCCAGTGTTGGTTTGTTCCCATTTCCTTGAGGCCAGTTCCTGGAATTGTGTAAGCCATTGGTTCAGGTCTGCTCAAGGTGGAGCAGCTTACGTCATAGCTCCAGTCTGGTGATCATTCAGTTAGCTTTCTCCTCTTGGAGTGGTTTTAGTATCTGCTGAACAAGTTAGGAGTGTGTCTCTGACACTGTTACTTATGTCCTTCGGGAGGAACCAGAGATTCTGTGAGTGCTGTTGTCCTAATCATTAACTGCTTGAACCTGTCCTTTTGTGACTCAGGGGAGGCCTGGGAGACTGCAGCTGTTTTACAAACAAGAGGCAGGGGACATGGAAGGGCCCTGCAGGGTCCTGCTTGGTTCCAGCAGCCGAGAGGTACAACTTTGTATGCAAGATAATGAGATGTAGTTTTGTTTATTAACAGGAACAAAAATAGTTTGGTCCTAAAGTGAAATGACTGATTGTTCCAGCACCAGAAAGAGGATAGTGAAGGACACAACCTCAGTGAATATAGAAAGTTGCAAGAGATGGGTGGAAAGGGAATTTCATTTGTGTGAGCTGAAGGCGGCTCAGTTTTGATGTTTATTCCAGAGGTTTTCAGAAAAGAGCTTCTGGTTCTCTGAGTATCCAATGTTATATTGATGCAAAGCTGGAGTTTGGTTTTCTCTCTGTAAAATGATAACTGTTTCTAGTGGAGTGTTGGTCTCTTTAATAAGTGGTTGGAAAGTTGTTCTCTAAATCTGCGTAAACAGCAGAGCTTCTGTGTCTCACTGGAAGAGCTTTCTGCCCCTAGTTCTGAATGCATCCGGCCTTATTATGTTTTGAAAATAAATGCACAGGGACTTCCCTGGCGGTGCAGTGGTTAAGAATCCGCCTGCCAGTGCAGGGCACACGGGTTCGAGCCCTGGTCCGGGAAGATCCCACATGCTTTTAGAAACTAGAGCACGGAGAGAGTAAGGTCATACAAAATTTGAGACACTAAATATTGTCATAGTTTAAGCAGTGTGAAGATCGTTGAAAGAAATTATTTGTCATCCTTCAAGCCATAAACATTTGATGAATACTTGCAAAAAATAGAAAATAAAGAAACCTCTAGAGGCCGCGAGCCACAACTACTGGAACCCACGTGCCTAGAACCCATGCTCCGCAACAAGAGAAGCCACCGTATTGAGAAGCTGATGTACCACAATAAAGAGTCGTCCCCGATCACGCCAACTAGAGAAAGCCCACGTGCAACAACAAAGACCCAACGCAGACAAAAATAAATAAATAAATTGAAAAATGTATTTAAAAAAAAAGAAAATAAATGCACAACAAAATTTCTGCATTTCTGAGAAAGTTAAGCTTCCTTAAAACTGTGTTTCTTTTGGTCTGTTTGTTTTTTTTAAGTGTACTGTCAGGAATTCCCTGGCATTTCAGGGGTTAGGACTCTGCGCTTCCACTAGTAGAGGCCTGTTTTTGATCCCTGGTGAGAGAAGTAAGATCCTGCAAGCTGCGTGGCGTGGCCAGAAAAACAGCAAAGACAAAATAATTATACTTTAGCCATTCAACACAGTCAGGGACCTTTAGTTCCTCCTCAAGGGCTATCGGGTAATATTCTGAGCCATGTCCTTGGAACTGCTTGGCAGAGACTGAAACCCCCAGCAGGTGGAAGAAGTTAACTGCATGCTGCCCACAAGCACGTAGACCCCAGACCAGTTGGAACCAGAAGGCTGATGATGTTGAGTCCCCGTGACCTCAGCACCAACCAATCAGAAGCATGTCCGTGAGCTGATCACGCACCCTGTAACCCTCTCTTCAACATGTAGCCCCTTTCTCTTTTCCCTGTATAGTCCTCAAGCAAAACCTCAGGAGGGGAGAGTTGGTTCTTCGGGACATGAGCCCACCATCTCCCCTGGACTGCCGGCTTCCTCAATAAAGCTATCTTTCCTTGTACCCAACACTTGTCTCTCAGTATTGGAGTCCTGAATGATGCAAGATGTGCCTCATCTTCTGTAGTTTTCTCTGCATGAAAAATAATTCAGGATTATTTTTCAGAGTTAAGAAATGTGGTTGGATAATCACAACACCATTAAGCAACACCTCGTTGGACAGCAAAGAGGCGAAGCCGACTGGTAATGACCACACACGTCATGACTGTGGGAAGACTTTCATCTTTATTGTATTTCCCAAAAGCTGCATTGCACGGTGCTCTTTAATAATCTAAAATAACGTACAAACATGTTGAGACAAGTTAAAAAATTACGACTGAATTCCCACAATTCAATAATGAGAACAAAAAAAATAAAATTTATGCTTACAAGATGTGGGAGGAAATACCCACCTAGCTGTAAGTAGAATGGGAATATTATGTAATATATAAAGTGTATATTATGTAATAGATACAAATAAAAATCTCTCTTGAAAATGTGAGTAAAATTGTATATATGTGTAAATATACAACAGCTGTAATACTCATCAGAAAAGTTTGTAGGAACAAGGTGTTTCAAAATGAAGACTATTTCAAAATAAATATTTAAAACTATTTAAAATAAATATATAAATATAAAAATAGAATAATTTGATAGGTGACATTTTCAAAATAAGCCTGTGAAAGTTAAGTCATCAGTCACGACCCTATGGCTCTCATTATATATTTTAAACTTTTTCTATCCTATTCTGAGCCCCTACACTCCACCTTCAAATGCTTCTAGACCGGGGCAAACAAGTGTATAAAAAATGGGACCTCCAATGGGACCTCAGGGGAGATTTGAATGAAATGATCTGAAAATTGGGGTGGTGACTTCCAAAAGGATGGCATCTGAGAAAACCCTGTTTTCTTATTGTCCTGCCACAGACTCCTAGAAGCATGCCCCGCTCCTAGGAGTATGATATGAAAACTCTTCTCAGCTCATTCTAGAAGGTGCTGGGTTCTTTGCGATTCTCTGCACAAGAGGCTTTCTCCCTTCCTTCCTCACAGCTGTCATCACTGTCTGGAGTGCCCTCGTGTTGAACATCCTCATCTCTCCTGGGCTCTGTGATCTGGATGTAAGAGAAAGAGCGAGGATGTCAGATTGCAAAGTGGCAACTGTGCAGCTATAAAGGTTTTCACATGCTTAGTCGATTCTAAGCAGAACTGAGACTCCTTTATGATTGCAGTTTTATCTCAAATTCTCCATTCTGAACCCCAGTCCTGAGCCATTCATTGTTTTCAAGTGTGATTCTTGGACTCTGGTGACCCTGACTCCAAAAACTACTGAATACACCTAAGGTCAGGCCCAGTAATCTGCTTTATAGCGAAGACCCCAGGTGATTGTGTGCAGGGAGCTGGCATTTGGAGAAATGCTGCTTTAGTCTCAACTCACCTTGGTCCTCTGGCACCACTTCAGTTCTGAACTTGGCACCACACTATAGACATGACTGACAAGTCAGCATCGTGGACCAGGAGACCTGATGCCGGATGCCTAACCCTGACGCTAACCCTGCATCCTAATGTCTATTTTATTATTAATTTTTCATTTATTTACTCATTTCCTTTATTTTATTTTTGGCTGCATTGGGTCTTGGTTGCTGCGTGTGGGCTCTCTCTAGTTGTGGTGAGCGAGGAGTACTCTCCGTTGCTTCTCATGATGTTGGCTTCTCTTGTTGCGGAGCATGGGCTCTAGGCGCACAGGCTGAGTAGTTGTGGCTTGCGGGCTCTAGAATGCAGGCTCAGTAGTTGTGGCTCGTGGGCTCTAGAGCTCAGGTGCAGTAGTTGTGGCGCACGGGCTTAGTTGCTCCGCGGCATGTGGGGTCTTCCCGGACCAGGGCTCAAACCCGTGTGCCCTGCGTTGGCAGGCGGATTCTTAACCACTCTGCCACCAGGGAAGTCCCTGGATCCTAATTGTTAAATAATACTCAGTCCTAAACTTGGTTAGTGTTACGGGCTGAATGTTTGTGTCTCCCAAAATTCTTATGTTGAAATCTTAAAATCTTAACCGCTAAGGTGCTGGTATTAGGAGGTGGGGTCTTTGGGAGGTTATTAGGTCATGGGGTAGAGCCCTCATGAATGAGATTATTGGCCTTGTAGAAGAGACTGTGGAGTGTTGTTTATGAGCCACGCAGTCTGTAGTAGGTAGGGCAGGTCGAATGGACTAAGACAGCTAGTTTGCAAGATTTAAGCCAAATGCTTGCTCAGTCCTCTGCCCACATCTAGAACTCTAATGTGTCAATTGTAATAAGCCATGCTGAAGATGGCATTCCTTAACCTTCACTCGTTGTGATAAACCCCCTTGACCGTAAACTTGAGGGGGAAAAGGTGAATTGTGCAAGAGGAATCATTGGTCCGGAAGTGGTGAGTCAGGGGAAATAAAGAGTCCCAGGTCATCTGGCCACAAGCAATTTGAAAGTAAATGTGGATGAAAATAAAGCCAGTCCTAATTCATCTTCTCTTATTGAACGTGTGGGCTGTTGTATGTAATATCCTGTGTGTAGACATTTACTTTGTTGTAGGTAAATGCTGGAACCCATATCCCTGAGGGATGTAAGGCCAAAAATGAATGAAAAAGAGAAACTGGAAACACAGTATATGGAAGAAAATCACCATCTCGTCAAAGCTGTCATTTGGACCCAGTTGCTTTGGGTGAAATGACTTCAGTGAGACCCATGCGTCTGGGACAAACTGGTTTCCCCGAGGTCTGGCGCCCACGGGCCCCGCGGTGCTGGTGTCTGTGTGTGGCTGTCAGTCCGTGGCTGGGCGCTGAGTCGGCGTGTGGCTGTGTGCCCGGCTGGCCCCCTTCACAGCGTGTGAGGTGATGTGGGTCCAGCAGTGGGATCCCTCCGATTTCCTCAGTAGACAACACGTCATTCCGCCCTCACCTTTGCGCACGCACGCAGACCTACCTTTGCGCAGGCCGATGACTTGAGGCCTGCGTGCTCCTGGGGCCCCTGGGGCAAGAGGGAGCGATCTCTTCCCCACACCCAGAGCTCTGGATCAAAAGCCTGGATCTGGAAAGAAAAACAGCCCCTGGCAATGAGGATGCCGCTGCCTCCCGTTGCCCGGCCTCCGGTTCTTTCTCGTCCATCCCCAAGTCCCAAACCGAGTTCCCCGTGATCCCCCGCTCCTCTCCGGCCCCACCCCTCCCCGAGACCGCCACAGCCCACCCACCTGCTCGCACTCTTCCCGAGTGACCCTCGTCTTCCAGCCCATGGAACGGATGAACTGGGAACGCAGTTTGTGGAACAAGGGACGCTGGGAGCGGTTCTTTCCATAGAGGAACGAAAAGATGGCCTGTTTGGGGGCCTGGTTGTCCTCTTCCATGTCGCTGGCCACATAGCTGGGGAAAGACATCAGGTCGCTGTCATCAGGACAGGAAGGGCCTCCGCTTGAGATCAGCTTCCCAGGAAAGAGGCAGGCTGAACATCCTCACACGACCCACCCAGCCCTGCCCGGCGTCACCGTCACTGTCACCGAGAGCCGCCCAGTCGTCAAGGAGGCACTGCCAGGCAGGACCTTCGGAAGGGTGCCTCTCACACCTTGAGGATGAGGACAAAATCCAAACCCCGTTCCCTTCAACTTGTTTTATGTGCACACACCTCTCTCCCTATGTTGTAGGTACAGGTACAGCTCCTGAGGGCAGGAGCTGATCTGATCTGTTTCTGCATTCATCCCTCTCCTACCAAATGACACATTTAGGGCTTGGTTCATATTGATGCATGAATTCAACAGCCTTTTGTGAATCTCTGTTCCCATCACCTCATATTCCGCGGCATGTAGGGTGTACGTTATAAGGTTTCATTAGATCAATGAATGAATGAATGAATGAACATTTAATCTCAGAGCCAAATGCAATACTGATTACCTCGAAGACTCACAGTAACGAACATTTGCAAAATGAAAAGAATTGTGCTGAGCGTTTTGGGAATGCATTGACATTTTGACAAGACCTGCCTTCCACATTGTGTCCAGTCTCATGGGACTGGGGAAGGGGAAGCGGGGAGATAAGAAATGACTATAATGCAAAGCATCACATTATAATACGATTTTAACTCAAGTGCCTCCGGGATGCAGACGTTAGGGAGATCAGGCATCGTGAAGGTTTTGGTGTTTGAACCCACTTTAAGGATAGGGTCATTTTCTTCAGATAAATGTGCGGGAAAGATACCTGGACAGAAAGCCCAATAGAAGCTTAGAGGGCAGGGTATTTGGAAGGAACGGTGGAACACAGGAATAAAGTGTCAGGACGGTGTGATGGGGATTGCAGAGAGAGTTGAATTCCAGCCCAGAGCTCTGGCCTTGATTTGGCATGGCATGAGCCGATGAAGTTGTGTGAAGCGGTCAGACCTGTGTTTTGGGGGATATTCAGGCAAATAGAGCCGACTGGCTTGGGAGACTTGGAAGAAACGTCAGTGGGGAGCAGTTTCCACCAGATCCGCGCTATGTGATCAGGGCCCCCCGATTGTGGCATTTGTCGTGGGAACGCAGAAACGGAAGATAATCACACTTGGTGCTGATGTGGGAAGACCCGAGACTGGAAAATCAGAACCGGAAACGTCTCAAGTCTGTTTACTCGGGGGCAGGATGGTGTCAGTTCTTTCTTCCTCTCCTCTTAGGAAGGTTTTGTGTTTTGCTTTGTTTCGTTCAGTGTTTTAATTGACATTAGGGTAGTTTGTTTTGAGAACGAATGGTATAAAAAACATAACTTTGTGTGAAAAAGAAACCACTGTACCGTAATCCTGTCATTTTCACACCAGAGTAAACAGTACAAAGGGGTTTAAAAAAATAGATGAAAGGTCAGTGCCCCACGTCTCTCTCTCCGCCCTCCCAGGGTGTTGAATATTGATGGCGGGGATGGAGCAAGGTACTCACAGAGCTATGAAGAAATGGATTCTCTGGAATTGCCAGGAGAAGAGCCCGGCCCGGCTAAAATAAGCTATCACCATCGACAGGAGATACTGATGGAAAGAGGGAAAAGAACGTAGGAGAGAGGTCACCTCCTGGAAGAGGAGAAAGAGTGGGAGGGAGAAGGGAGCAGGGGACGAGGATGGGTGGTGCCACTTGGAGAGGAGACCCCCCGTGTTGGGGGAGCCTGATTATTTGGGGAAGGGGAGAGGACAGAAAGTCAGAGTCCCCAGGAGCTGAGAGGAGAGGGGACTTACGCCGCAACCACCAAAGGGGCACACCTGGGGCTCAGATCCCAGAGGGGACCTCGAGGCCCCTGGAGGGAAGTGTTGACAAGGCATCAGGTTGGGAGGGGAGTGGAAACGTGGGTGTAGGAAGCACCCCGTGCGCCCACCCAGGACAGGCGCTGGAGCTGGAATCCATCTCAGCGGGTGGTTTACCTTGTCAGATACTTCCAGCCTTTTGTCCCAGGCAAGGAATTTCTTAACGACGGGATCCTCTGTGAAAAGAGGGCAGATGTTGCCAGTGGGAACAGGGCTGTCGTGGGAGCCTTGCAGAGCCAAGAGGGAGAACCGCGCCCCCCCCCCCCCGCCCCGGGGAAATGCCAAGTTGTGGCCCAGGGTGAAGCTGACGGGAAGAGGGGATTGAAGACCATTCACTGTGGGAGGAAAGGGGGTGACTCCCCTTCTAGGGGGGCCGAGTGACAGGGAGTGATGCCCCTTCATCGTGCATTCACGTATCACTGCAGAGGGCATCGAGTTACTCTCAGCCAGTTTCTCAATTGACAGTCTCGCTGAGGCGAAGATGGACTGTCAGCCCCCCCGCCCGCCCCACACCAGTAAGATTCAAAAGGCCAGTAAGAGCTAGAGTCTCAGGGGTACAGTTGAAACCCAACAAACCTAACTCTGTATCATTTCTAAATGTAACCTCATCCTGCATCATTTACGTGTCCTCTGTATCCTTTATCCGTAGACAGTCCGCCAGGGACGGAGAGCGCACCAACTAGCAGGGAATTGTTTTCCACTGGAAAAGTGTAGTCATGGGAAGATTTGTTTCTTTGTTACTCAAGTATAGCATTGGAGGGTGCTGGGCGAGGGGGCGGGTCCTTACCGAGCATCCTGTTGAAGACCTCGTGGTGCTCAGGCAGCACTGAAGACACCCGCTGTCGCTTCAGCTTCATCTTGAGCCCAATCAGCCACTCCACGACCCAGGTGTCCTGGGCCTCAGCGGCCGGGTCGCCCTCCACCTCCGCTCTGAACGCCACTGACCTCTTCCTCTTTCCGCCGGGGCGCTGAGGCGGGGAGGTGCAACCGGCCCAGGGGGCTGACGAAGGAGAAGAGACTACAGTATGACGCTCTCGTCTTGGGAATTCAGCCACTGGTGACCACCCAACCCCACCCCGACTCTGCCTCCCCCCTGAAGCACCCCCGTGCTTTCCAGTCTCCCAGACCACTGACCTTGCCCCAAGTCATCTTTCCATCTTTCTCTGTCCATATCTACCGATCCCTCCCCTGACTCCTTGTGTCATTTTTCCAGCTTCCTGTCCTCGAAACTCTTTCTCATGGTAGATAATTTCTCCCACCAGGGGAAAAAAAAAAAAAAAAAAAAGAACCCTCCCTTTGTTTCCTCTCTTCCCTTCTCTCATCCTTGGATCTCGTCTCCTAACCCTCTTTCTTGCTCCCCAGGTGTTCCGTGTCCCCAGCTCCTGTGCTCTCCTCCCTCAATCCCTGGCTTTCCGAATGTCTCCTTTCTTTCATAGGCACCTTTCGCAGGGGCTCTTTCCCGACCTCTGTACCCATTCCTCCTTACCGGTCAAGCCTCTGCAATTCCTTCTCGTGCCAGCTCCTTCACCTGACGGTCCTGGGATTTCTTCATAGACAGTCACCTCCAGGGGGTACCCTGAGGAGCTGGGCTGGCAGGTCTCGTCCTCAGCCTGGGAACTCGGTGGACGATTGTCCATGATGTCTCCCAAACTCTTGGCTTCCTCAAAGCCTAGACTCTGCTTTGTCCCAACTCTTGTTCTGGACTTGGGCTAAACACGAGTGGTCGTTCCTTCTCCAAGCTGCGGGGCAACTGGCAGTGGAGAGAAGCTCTGGCGAGATGCTATTGTCTACTACTGTTGCCGAGCACCACGGAGTCTGGTCCTTCCAATCAGGAAGGTCGGAAGCCTCTGATGTCATCATCCGTCATTCCAACCTGGCAAGCAGTTTGAAGGGAATCACAAGTAACTGTCAGACCTATGTGTGCACTTGTCCCAGAGATCAGGGGTAAATGGTATCTCCTGCCACTGACCCAACCTCTGCCCGTCCTCCAAAACCCCCCTCAAGGTGTCCAGACCCCGCTTTACCGCTTCCCAGCAGGTGCGCTGTCCTCTCCCTGCGTGACTCTCCCCCTCCATCCCTTTCCTTTTCCACAGGCTGGTGGGAGAGTGGGGAGAGGGACAAGGAGACTTAGGGGAAGCAGCAACGGTTCAGCCTTATAAGAGTGAGATAAGTATGTAAAAAAATATCCCAGGTACATTGACTCACTGGATTAAAAAGTTACGTTAAAACATAGAATTCTGCAAAGCTCTTCTGCTCAGTGTTTACTGGCACTGTGTTCAGAATTCTGTAGTGGGGGAGCACACGTCCGCTACCCTCAGGCACCTTTGAGTCCAAGAGGCATTTTGAGAAGCTAAAATCATACAGAACTACACGTGCTCACGCACCCTTCAACGGGTGTCTACAGACAGACACACACACGCACACACAAAAAGGGCACCTTTGGATTTCACAAAGTCCATGGATTGTCCAAAGCCTGCCTCTCGATTCCAATTAAGAAGTTCTCGTCTACTTATCAAAATTTTGAGAATGTAGTATCACTGTTGTCCCAGAGATTTCACTACCTGAATAAAAATGTCACATGTACAAAAGCCTAAATGGGAAAATCTCCAGTTCAAGACAGGTTATTTTTCTATGAGGGGAGGAAGTACACGGTAGCCGAGATGCAGAGAAGAAAATAGCCAACTCGGGATCGTGCAGTGTCACTAGAAGCTTCTTCTGAACTTCCCAACTCATGCTTCCACACCTCGCCTGGGGGTCTGAGTCTTGCTTTTCCTTCCTTCCTTCCTCCCTCCGTCCCTCCCTCCCCCCCCCCCCCCCCTCCCTCCTCCCTTTGCTCTTTTTTTATTGTGATAAAATTTGCATCACATGAAATTTGCCCATTTTAAGGGTACAGTTGAGTGACATGAAGAATTCACATTGTTGGGTTTCCCTGGTGGCACAGTGGTCAAGAATCCGCCTGCCGATGCAGAGGACACGGGTTCGAGCCCTGGTCCGGGAAGATCCCACATGCCGCGGAGCATCTTAGCCCGTTCGCCACCAGTACTGAGCCCGCAAGCCATAACTCCTCAGCCCGCGAGCCACAACTACTGAGCCCGTGCGCCTAGAGCCCGTGTTCCGCCGTAAAGAGAAGCCACCGCAATGAGAAGCCCGTGCACCGCAGCGAAGAGTAGCCTCCGCTCGCTGCAACTAGAGAAAGCCTGCACACAGCAAAGAAGACCCAACGCAGCCAAAAATAAGTAAAACAAAAATCTTAAGAGAAAAAGTAAAGAATTCTCATTGTTGTGCAACCATCCTGACTGTCCATCTCCAGAATGTTTTCATGCTGTCAAACTGAAACTCTGTCCCCAGTAAACACTGACTCCCCATCCCCCCCAGCCCCTGACACCCACCCTTCCACTTTCTGTCTCCATGTATTTGACCCCTCTGGGGATGTCACCGAAGTGGAATCATGTAACATTTGTCCATTTGTATCTGGCCTATCCACTTAGCATAATGTCTTCAAGTGTCATCCGTGTGGTAGCCTGTGTCAAAATTTCCTTCCTAGACCCCAAAGCCAGTGTGGACAGTACACAGTGAGTGAGAAGGAAATAAAACCCTGGGTCTGAAGAAGTTCAGATGTATGCCAAGTGCAGTGGGAAAGCAATGAATGAGAGGTGTCGTGATCCAGTTTGCACTGAAAGGGAAACAATTGATGTTGGCTGCTGTAGAAATGGATGGGGTGGAGATTCAGCAAGAGTGGAAGTCGGGAGACCCAGATACCGTTAGGAATTTGGCGTGGTAGTGCAGGAAGACGATGTCTGAGAAGATGGAGAGAAGCCAACAGGTTCCATATATTTGGAGGGAGACTCAGCAGGGCTCATCGGGGGATCAGATTGGGGGGAGGTAGCGGGGCGTTATTTCTGTTTACTCTGTGTGCGCGTGTGTGCTTATGCCTCTACTGCTGAGACTTAACTGTTTCTACAAAGAAACACTAACCTTTCCTCTTACAAGTGGAATTGTTACATTTTCACTGTTTATACAAAGAAATGTCAAACAATCATTGAAAAATACCTAAATGCTCTTTCTATCAATTAGAAACTTTCCTTCCTGTTTGTGGATGAATAATATCTGTTGTATGAATATACACACTACATTTTCTTTATCCATTCATCTGTCAACGAACACTTGGGTTGTTTCTACATTTTGGCTCTGAATCTTGCTTTTGAATTATTGTTTGGACTTTGATGAGAAGTATCTCTGTGTTCAGGATGTGCCCAGTGTTTTAGTTTGTCTTTGGATCACTTACATATTTCTAATTAGCCCAAGCAATGCATACGTAGAGTCAGATCAGTTCATCCAAGGTGCAGGGACTGAGTGTCTCTTTGGTTTGCACTCGTGGACTTTCTGAGATGTTCTAGGTCTCAGAGGCCATGCAAAGAGCGTCTGAGGTCCTCCAGAGCTGCCACAGCCCGGCTCTCCTCAGGGTCCGCACTGCTGGGAAAAGCACTGCTGCTTGAGGACCTGTGTCCCTCTGCTGTAGACGTTCCATCGTTAGGAGGCAAATGAGTTCAGATTTGCATTCATCGTGCTTTCAACCATCACCGCTGACTGGGTCCTCGTATAACAGAACAGAAGTTCACTCTCCCTCTTGGTTAAGAGGCTTTCAAATCTTAGAAGGTTGGTATTCTGTCCCCGTGAAAATTTCTCTTGTATACTGTGAAATACCCTGATTGCTTTATCTAGTCTTCAGATCTGGATTTGCATAATCCCACCCCACCTCACCTTGTCCAAATGTGCTAAAGTCGGGTGGGACCCATCTTAAGATGTGTTGGTATGTTGTCCAAAAACGGCGTAAACAGCCCAGATCGACTCTGATGTTGTAAGTGAGCAGGACCTTGTGGGGCCTTCCTGGGACGGATTCTCCCCATGTCTTCTGCCTGCTTCTTGTCTTTAGAAAATTTTAGCCTCCTAGCCTTCCCTGAGTTCGAAACGGACAATTTAATCAGAGAAGGGAGAAAGTGCAAAAAGAAAGGAAAAGAGTCCAAAACGACCAAATAATACTAGTGTAGCCGTTAAACAAAGTCAAGGACCTTTCCTTCTTCCTCAAGGGCTGTAGACACTGTTCTGAGCCTCGTCCTTGGAGCTGTTTTGCAGACTGAAGCCCCCAGCAGGTGGAAGAAGTGAACTGCATGCTGCCCACAAGCACGTAGACCCCAGACCAGCTGGAACCAGAAGGTTGATGATGTTGACCTCAAAGTACGTCACCACCAACCAATCGGAAGAATGTCCACAAGCTGACCACACACCCCTCAACCTCCCCTCCCTCACCCCACTCTTTTGTAATTCACTTTAAACATTTTTTAAATTTTATTTTGGGACTATAGTTGGTTTACAATGTTGTGTTAGTTTCCGGTGTACAGCAAAGTGATTCAGTTATATGTACACAGATATCTTTTCTTTTTCAGATTGTTTTCCCATTTAGGTTATTACAAAATTTTGTGTTTTTTTCGTCACACTGTGTGGCTTGTAGGATCTCAGTTCCCTGACCAGGTATTGAACCCGGGCCACGACCGTGAAAGACCAGAATCGTAACCTCTGCGCCAGCAGGGGACTCCCTGGGTTAATAGAGAATATTGAGTAGAGGTCCCTGTGCTATACAGGAGGTCCTCGTTGATTGCCTATTTTATATATAGTTGTGTGTGTACGTTAGTCCCAACCTCCTGATCTATTCCTCTCCCCCACCTTTCCCCTTTGGTAACCATAAGTTTTTTCTATGTCTGTGAGTCTGTTTCTGTTTTGTAAAGAAGTTCATTGGTATCATTGTTTTAGATTCCACATAGAAGTGATATCATATGGTATTTGTCTTTCTCTGTCTGACTTCCTTCCCTTAGTATGATAATCTCTAGGTCCATCCATGTTGCTGCAAATGGCATTATCTCATTCTTTTTTATGGTTGAGTAGTATTCCATCGCATGTATGTACCACGTCTTCCTTATCCATTCCTCTGTCGATGGACGTTTAAGTTGCTCCCATGTCTTGGCTATTGTAAATAGTACTGCTATACATATTGGGGTGCATGTGTCTTCTTGAATTATGGTTTTCTCTGGGTCTGTGCCCAGGAGTGGGATTGCTGGGTCGTACGGTGGCTCTAGCGTTAGTGTTTTGAGGAACCTCCACACTGTTCTCCATAGTGGCGGCACCAGTGTACATTCCCACCAACAGCCTCACCCCATCTGTAAACACCTTTCCCTGAAAGCCATTGGGGAGTGGGGGCCTTCTGAGCCCTAGATACCTGGACCCCTTGCTTGTTGCCCTGCCATAAACGCGGCACTTTCCTTCACCGTGACCTGGTGTCAGTAGATTGGGTTTAGTGCGTGCGGGCGAGTGGACCCTAGTTTGGTGCAGTAACAGCGTGTTTGCAGACAAGCAAAACTATCACCTCTCCTCCTCTCTTTTCCTCCTGTGGATACAGTTTAATATAACAACGCTGTAGCTCTAGTACAGAAATATCAGTAGAGTGAAGCAGAAGTGCTTTGTCAATACAATCCTTTCGGCATGAGAGTCACGTGGAGAAAATATTACAACACAGATGCCTGGACCCAGCCTCACAGATTCTAATTCCACAGCACTGAGCTAGGGCCTAATTTTAACTTTCTCAATTGACATGCTTCAGATTTGGAAATCTCTGGGTGGGATGGGCCACCCAGGCTGGTGCAGTAGGGGGGCTTCAAGGCATCGTTGAATGAAATAAGAAGGAGGGAGGTGAACCGTGACCCGATTTTCACCCAGGCATCCTGTGGCAGGGCTGTGGCCAGGCCATGGGTCCACAGCTGAGCGGACGTCTGTGTCAGCCTCCAATCCTCCTGCCAACGCATCCGTGAAAACCGCTCCAGCAGCCCGGTGCTGCCGTGGATAAGCAGCCCTGGGATCGGAGTTCAGCCCAGGCACCTACCTGGTACATGAATAGTGCATGTGCTGGTGAGGAAAGCACCCTCTCCACCGGGATGCCTGGAGCACATCCTCCCGTACAGCCCTCAGAGGGGACCAACCCTGCTGACACGTTGATCTCAGACTTCCAACCTGCGTAAATGTCGGACAGTGCATTTGTGTTGCTTAAGCCCGCCAGTTTGTCGTACTTGGTGACGCAGCCCAAGCAAACCGCTACGACCTGTATTTTGAATAAGAAGGAATTCACGTGTGACGGTCGCTTTCCTGCTTCCCCTGCCTTTATTTTTTTATTTTTATTTTTTAAAATATATTTATTTCTCTTAGGCTGCGTCGTGTCTTAGTTGCGGCACACGATCCTAATTGCCCCGTGGCGTGTGGGATCTTAGCTCCCGGACCAGGGTTCCCGGGCCTCGAACCCGCGTCCCCTGCATTAGAAGGCGGATTCGTTCCCACTGGAACACCAGGGAAGTCCCTCCCCTGCCTTCAAATTAAGACGTGTCGCTGAACTTCAAAGAAGAACCTGTCCTTTTCTGTTAGATTAGAAACCTGAGCTTTCTTCTTAAACGTTCCGTTTCCCGGTTGTGGTAGATGTGTTAGTGTTGAAAAAAATGGCTGAGAGACTTTAAGAGGAAAAGGATTTTACAAATCCTGAAGATGGGTGCCAGTTATCGTGATAAAACTGCTATGTTAATAGAGCAAAAATAAACAGGAGACAACACAGATAAGTACTTAGGAAATGCATGATGGGAAAGGCTTCTTCAAGTACAGTGTCAAAACACATGAAAAGTATGAAGTGGAAGTGAAAGATTTGAACACAACATACTTTTTTAAGTGTGTGTATAAGAGAATGTGAGAGTAAAAAGTTAAAAAGATAAAGAACAGGAATTGACAGATACACACTTGTATATGTAAAATAGATAAACAGTGATGACCTAGTGTATAGCACAGGGAAGTATGTTCAATACCTTGTAATAACCCATAATGGAAAAGAGGCTGAAAAAGATTACATATATTCTTACATAAATACATGTAACCGAATCACTTTGCTGTACACCTGAAACCTTGCAAACCAACTATACTTCAGTAGAAATAGAGAACTGACAAAATAGGGGAAATATCTGTAGTTAATAGAGATGCAGATACACAAGCAGAAAGCTTTGTATTGTAAATATCCATATATATGAAGAGATCCTAAAGAAACCAAACTAAAAGGTGGCCGTTGCTGCTTCTGGTCAAGGTGCAGTCGCAGGGTCCAGGTTTACCCTCCTAGCTTAAAACAGCTTTAAAAAGGGGGAAATGTATGAAATGACGGTTTTTCGCCTTTTGGAGAGAGGGGTGAGTCGTGAGGGACATCAGCTCACTGCTAGACATCCCATTCATTGGGATGACTCCGTACTTATTCCCTTTTTTAGAGCATTTCCTCAAGACAACTGGTAATAGAAATACTTCCAGAGAGTGTCCAGGGCAAAGTACAGGGCAGGGGGCCGGGGAGCCCAGCATGTCCCTGGGCTGAAGGGATAGAGTGAGGTGTTGAGGTGGGCACAGCAGCTGGGGTTCACAGGCCACCCCAGTATTATGCTGAGACCCGGTCGGTGCACGTGGGTGAGCTGAGAACTGGAGGCCTGGTGGCGGGCTGATGGGCGCGCTGCCCACCCACGGTGCTTCCAAGCAAGGTACTCCGTGTAGCTGACGTCTTTACGTGCTGAAAATGGAAAAGGCGAGAAATGCGCCCTGGAGGTTTGCCAGGCTCAGGCTCAGAGCAGGCGTGGTCGCTGTCATTCACACACAGGCAGCATTTCACCGGTGAGAATTCAGGCAGAGGCCACAGTCAACAGCAGCAAGAACCGGAAAAGACCGTTCCTGGCTCTAAGCAGCCACTTCCAAGAGCAATTTTGGAGAAGCACGCATTTTGTGCAGGATTAATGTAATGTGGCAGCTCAGCTGGGGAAATCAGCAATGGGTTATGTGCTTATTCATTTGGACGAATCATCACTTCTTATTTCCATTTTTAGAGGATTTCCTCAAGACGCTTGTAATAGAAATAGTTCCTCTGTCCCTTTCGTAAGTATCTAAATCTTTTTAAAAGCTAAATCAGTCTCTTGCCAGCATTACAACCCAGGAATGTGTTTGTTAAGGACCTGAGAGCTATCTTCTTTATCTCTGTCACCGGGGGAGTTTAGGCTAGGTGGTAGGCACTTTCCTCTGAGCTGTAAGTACCTGCTTATCCTAGAGATAGGAGCAGTTGTCTTTCTCCTTTGGATAAAGGGTATTAACTAGCATGGACAGCCACCGAGATTACCAGGTGAATTTAGGATATACTCTGAAAGAATGTATGCCATTTTTATGGTGGTGTCAAGTCTTTTCACATGAGACAAGTTCCCGTTTATCTTGAGAACATGTATGCAACAGATTTTATCTGCTGAGCTATAAAAAAAAAAAAAGGTGAAGTTGATTTCATTTGCACAAACATTAGTGGGCCGCCTGTGGTGCACAACACAGTCTTGTTTAATGGTTATTCAACAGTAAAACCGGTTTCTTTATGTCTACATTTGTGTAGAGGATTTTCTCGGTTGGCGGGAGATTTTATTTTTTATTTTTGTTAATTACTTAATTAATGGGACTGCACTGCGCAGCATGCGGGATCTTAGTTCCCCAACCAGGAATCAAACGCGTACCCCCTGCAGTGGAACCTAGGAGTCTTAACCACTGTATCGCCAGGGAAGTCCCTGGAGATTTTATTTTTAACTTTTCCCCTAGCAGCTTTTAAGGAACAGTTGGCCAAAAACACAGTTATATTATCTCACCCCCAAAATAGTGATAAATCATTACCCTTATGATTCCATTTTTGAGAAATGATATTTTTACCTAACATAAACAGTATCTTCGTTAAGAGGTAAGATCCCAGGTGTCTGTTTTCTGTTTGTGTGTACCTTCTGAATTTCATACAGTTTTTAAAGTGTTGGTTGTGCAAACAGCTACAATTTCTATTTTCTTTTCTTTTCGTGGGTAATATTAGTTTGTATCATGGCTGGGCATTTATTGTATCCTAGGATTTGAATTACAGTTGTAGCGTTTCAGTTAAGCGAACGTGATACACTCCTTCCCCTCTCCTGGCGGTGGGGGAATCTCAGATGTAACTCGAAATGTCTCAGGGCAGGGAAAGGACCAGGGACCCTGGAGGCCATCACACAGCCCCCGCTTGAGGCCGCAGCTTTCCTTGATCCCTAACAGGAGTGAAGACAAATGGGCAATTGAGTCCCTGGTCCAGACGGCCCACCGTCGCAGCACAGCAGCTCCTCACTGCCAGATGAGATGAAGACATTTACATCGCTCACTAACTGGACGGCGCGGAGACTTCTGGGAAATAGAGTCTTGGTACTTGTTTCGCTCTCCGGTCGGGCTTTGGCAGGCGGACTTCCGGCGTCCTCCTGCGCAGGTGCGCCTCACGGTTTCTGAGGGTTGGCGCACGCGCGCCGTCGCCGCGCCGCCTTCGCTTCCTGTGCGTGCGCAGGTCGGCTATGGTCGTCGTTCCGCCGTTTTGGCCTCTTGCCGAACATTCGGGGCTTGCGGGGCTGGACGCCGTCGGGCCCGGCCGGCAACAAGCGCGAGCGGGGTTAGCGGGCGAGGGTTCGCGCAGGCCGGGCGGAGGCTGGAAGTGGGACCGCCGAGCTTGAGCCGCGGAGCCCGCGGCCTGGGCCGGAGTGGCCGAACGGCCGGCGGCGGTCCGCGGCATAGCGAGTTCCCGGGAGAGCCGTGGGCCTGAAGGGAGTTTGTGCCGTAGGCCCAGAGCCGGCTCCTCGGGCCCAGTGGCCTAGGGAGGCGGAGAGGAGGGACCCCGAGAGAGGAGCGCGCCGGAGGAGCAGCCCCCGGACCGGAGCCTCGGGAGCCCGGGGACGGTCAGCGAGTCTCGACGGGGTTGGTGCGTCTGCGTGCCTGCAGGCGGTTGTGGACCTTGCGGCCGTTGCAGAGCGGGCTTGGGTTACCCCGCCGCGGGCCCCGCGGTAGTGCGATCGGGAGGGTTTGACCGCTTCCCGGAGGTGGAGGGGCCGGGCTGGAGGGCAGGGCCGGCTACTCCGGATGGGGCTCCCCTGGGACTTGTGAGCTCCGGGTGTTCTGGGGGAGCAGGGGCCGCAGGCTCGGCCGGGACGTGCCTCGTCCTCCCTTACGTCCAACCCCGATCCTCCACGTCCTCTTGTCGCCGTGTCGGCATCTCGCACGTGTCTCTCAAGGCGCGTCACCACCTTGGTTGTCTAATCTAAGCGTCCCCTGCCCCCCTCGGTTGTTCCCTGTGGATTCGCACAGTGTAATCGGTGCAGGATGAGTCTGCAAGGCTTCTGTCCTGCTGCCTCGCTTGAGGAAGGAAGAGATTTGGCCTGAGAAGGGAGGTGACTTGTCCTAGATCCTCACCGGGTGTGCACGTGCAGTCGCTACAAGGAATCTAAACTCCTAGGGCAGGTGTTCTGTCCACTTAAAGTCAGTTTTAATAAAACTGTTTTTTGAGCGTCGCACTTAAGTTTGTAAAGTTTGTACAAATAATTGAAAGACTGAAACGCACCTGAGTGTGTCCCTTTATTCTGGGTATGCTGTGGATGTCTAATCTAAGTTGTTAACAGACTTAGAAGAGTTAAACTATAAGCGTTTTTTCATTTCATATTTAATGGCGGAGGATTATTTTCGTAGGACTCAATGTACACTCACTGCTGAAAAAAGTATCCCCTCAGGTACCCCAGCCACGTGGGAGTTACAGACCTGAGGGTGGTTGCTCCCTCCTCATTCTAACAGGCCCTTCTGAAGAGGAAATGGCGGGTCTCCCACAGGTGTCTCTTGTGGAGCGCGGGGCGGGTGCTCGTGCAACCCCGAGCCGCTTCAGTCGTAGCTTCACTGCCTGCGTTTTCCTTCTGCAGGTCCGCCTCCACTGTCACAGTCCTGCACGCTGTTCCAAGAGCAGCAGAAAATGAATCAGCCCCTGGTGAGTTTTGCTGTTTACTTATTTACCTGCTGCTGTTCTTTTGTGATAACACCTTGGGAGGCGAATGGTTCAAACTGTGAAATGGGAAAGTAGGAGTAGGGAAAAGATGTGGTTCGACAAAGCGTAGAGGAGCAGATCAGTACCAAGTGTTTCTGGCAAGTTCCACGTGTAGATCCCACGATCCTCTTATAGACACAGTACAAGCCTCGTGTTCTTGACATCTGTGGCAAAACGCCATCCCTTGCTTGACTTACATTGTCCTGCCGAAGCACTTTTGTTCTCGGGCGTTAAAGGTTTCCTTGAGGATCCCGCTGTAGGCCGCTAGCCTTCCTGAGCCACAGCCCCTAACGTGTTGACATCGGTGCCTTCCTGTCCTTCCCGTAAGCCGAGAGCATGCCTTCCAGGGAGCCCTCAGGGCATAGAACTTTTCTGTTCAGTGGAACACCATTGTCACATAGGTACATTGTTTTCAGTGCTCAGTCCAGGGATGCAATGAGGAGCATCTGGAAGCACAGCCTTGTCACCCTTCCAGTAAATTTCCCTCTTTGTCACTTACAATCTAACAGGGTCACGTTACACACCATGTAGTGATGTCTGTGGCAAAGATTCCGTGTTTCCCACCTGAATTGTATCGTGCAACCTGCGGTCTTTGTTCTGCCCCTCCCCGGAACCTGATCCGGTTGAGGTGACCTGGCATCCAGCATACAAACCAGTGGAGATTTGCCAGTCGTCACCTCAGACCACTGTCGCCTTCCCATCTGCAGAGTCTGCTGTGTTGGTTTCTGTGACAGATCTCTCCTTGCTCTCTTCCTGACTGATTTCTTTCTTCCCCCTCTTTGTTGTCTTTTCACTCTTGGTTCATGACTCTTCAACCTGTCTGACTTCGCCTTGTGGTGCTTTTCACTTCCAGCTCTGTCAGTTCTCCCAGCTGGACCAGATAGATGCCTCTGTCCAGCCACTTGCCAGCATCTCTGTGGAGTTTGTCCAAAGGGCGCCTCAAATTGCTAGATCCAGTAGATCCAAGAATGACTATTTACGGCTCCCCCGCCCCTTGCCCTCTCCTTTTGTCCCTGGCAGCTCATCGTTGCATCGTCTAGCCTGTCACCCTACCCAGAAAAATGGGATCATTCTAAAGTCCTTCTCCAGCCTCTGTTACCACGTTGTAGTATTAGGCTTGTTAATGTCGTAGTGTAAATGGTTTTTATTCGTTCCCCTTCATCCCGTACTTGCTACCATTAAAATAGCTTATCTTTTCATTTCTGTAGTTACGGAAACTTTTTTTCTGTGCTGCTCTTTCCTCCGGCTGCTCAAGTGTATTGTGCACGCTGAGTATTTCTCCTAAAATATTAATCACAGCAGTTTGTCTGCATATGGGAAGCACTTCAGAGGTTCCCTGGGTGACTGGACAAACGAGGTAGCCGTTCTATGGAACCGTCGAGCCCAGCACTGGGGGGAGGTCGTACCTCGCTGATGATGCGTTTGGATGGATCTGTGGGGTAAAATCCTGATCGGAGACGCTTAGGAGAGAGGAGTGGGAGAACTGGGTTTGTTGTGTTTCTAACTTTTTCAGGACGTTTTGCTGTGACGGGGAAAAGAGAAATTGGACAGTAGCTGGAGTAGGAGCTGAGGTCCGGGGAGGATGTTGTGTTGTGTTGTGTTGTGTTTTGACGGGAGAAATAAGAGTGGGAATGATCCAGTAGATGCGTGTGGGGGAGGAGAGAGCTTCTGCCCGGGGTGCTGGAGTGGGGAGGGGATGGCAGAGCTGGGTTGCAGGTGGGGAATCCCTCCAATGGCTTCTCTGTTCTCAGGGAAGCAGCTCCTCAGCTGAGGGTGAGGGTGAGGTTGGGGGTTTGAGGAGAGAGCAGAGCTCTGGGGCCCAGCTCCATGGTGACCGTCAGCACACACAGTTCAGCCAGCTGGGAAAACTGTACTTGCCTTGTCTGCCTGAAGAGCCATCTCCTCTCTTACATGTGGGAGGAATTACCCTTTGGGGAGCCTATGTAATTACACGGGTGCTTCTCAGCTCAAAGCGAATTGAGTGCCAGTTCTGGCCACGGAGACTTTCTGCTCTGCTGGTGGAAGGGTCCCCAGACGACGTGTCCTGCTTCCCTGGCTCTTGGCCTCGGGGACCCTTCACGCCATCTAGTGTCGTGTCTTTTATCTTAGACATAAACTTCAGATGTCTTCAGGTTCTGCATGTGATCTTGAGCAATTCTCTGCTTCCAGGAGCTTCTGTTCTCCTCGGGAAAGGCACTTCACAGACGTAATTACGGGAGAGGACGGGAATCCTGCCCGTCGATACGTCGGGAACTCCAGAGTGCTGACACAGCAGAGCCTGCTTCTATTTACTTATCTATGTGTTTTAATTTTTGTTTCTTTACTTATTAATTTATTCACTTCTGGCTGCATTGGGTCTCTGTTGCTGCGCGCAGGCGTTCGTCTGTAGTTGCGGTGAGCGGGGGCTACTCTTTGTGGCGGTGCGCGGGCTTCTCATTGCGGTGGCTTCTCTGATTGTAGACCGTGGCTTCTAGGCATGCGGGCTTCAGTAGTTGTGGGCCGTGGGCTCAGTACTTGTAGCGTGCGGGCTGTGGAGCGCAGACTGAGTAGTTGTGGCTCACGGGCTTAGTTGCTCCGCAGCATGTGGGATCTTCCCGGACCAGGGTTTGAACACGTGTGCCCACCATTGGCAGGCGGATTCTTACCCACTGCGCCACTAGGGAAGCCCGAGAGCCTGGTTATAAATGCATCGTCAGAGCACGTGGCTCAGTGACTTGGGGAAGGGTGACGGGCCTCAAGTGACCAGGACTTGGGTAGCTGCAGAGGTTGGCGAGGCTCTCAGAGCAGCGTGAGGTGGACTGGATGAGGCTCCTGAGGTGCTGGTAAGGACCTCCTTCCTTAGGACGTGGGCCTCCCGTCAGGAACAGCGGGACGTGGATGCAGGCAGACCCTGAGGTTGACTGAAGAGCCTCCCCTCTGTGCTGGTTTTGGTTTCATCCTGTGGAGAAACTGAAACCTTGTAATCGGGACAGTGAGTCATCTGATCTAAAGATGTCATGTGTAGAGACCGTGGACGGCATGAAACACGGGGTGGGGTGCGGTGGGTCAGGTCAGGGGGACTCTGGGCTCCAGCGCGCTGCCCGACAGGAAGGGGCTAGGCCGCGGCGTGTTCCCGCTGGTCCTAGGCCCCGGTAAGCAGTATGGACGTTCCCTTGGGGTTTTTCTGAATCATGAATGAGGTTGAGAGTATTTTCACATGCTTAGAAGCTGTTTCTTCTTTTTAATGGATAGACAGTTTTTAGAGCAGTTTTAGGGTTCCAGGAGAATCGAGCAGACAGCAGTTTCCTATGCCCGTCCCTCTGGGTTCCCTCCCTTGATAACCTCTCAGGCCTGTGTGGCGCGTCATCTCAGTGATGGATCAGCATTGACCCCTGATTCTCCCGTGGAGTCTGTAGTTTATATTAAGGCTCCCTCTCTGTGTCCTGCTGCCCAGGTTTGGACAAGTGTGATGACCTGCAGCCACCACTGCAGTGCTACCCAGAAGCACTTCACTGCCCGAAACATCCGTGCCGGTCACCTGTTCATTCCCCCCCCAGTGTCCCCGAGCCCCCGACAGCTGCTGATCTTGTTACTGTCTGTGTATTTTTGCCCTTTCCAGAATGTCACGTAGTTGGAATCCTTCTGTCTGTGGTCTTTTCAGACTGGTGTATTTCTGTTTTTACATGAAGGGCCTGTCATGTGCATTGCCCGTCTTCCTGCCCCAATACTGTCTTGTTTTGTTCTGTTTCGTTCTGTTTTGTTTTCCTTGTCTTATTGGCTTTCAGAGTCGTGTTAAATGTTTCTAAATTTTTCCAGTTGGGGTCATGTTAGTAAACATTGTTTTCCAAAGGTTATTGTCTTTTTCCTGTATTTTCCAGCATTGCTATGTAATTCATTACTTTTTTTTTACTTTGAGAGGTTGAATACTATGCATTTCAAAAGTTTCTAGAAATCAGCACGTTTGTGTGGGTAAGAGTCCTAGTTGAAGAGCACCCTCCTTGGTCAGTACTGAGGTGCAGCTTCTTTGCGGGCGGAGGCGCGTGAGGGGGGAGGAATGCGTCGGTCTCGTGGTTCCCTTTCTGCTGGGTCTCAGTTCCCCTTTCTGGTTCTGGGCAGTGCATCAGCCACTCTCCTGGGACAGGCCAGGCAGGTGGGATCCTCGCTTCCTGGCTGTGGAGGCTGTGTGTGTCTGGGAACACCTTTCTTTTTCCCTGAGGAGCGAGAGGACCCTTTTGGTTGTGGAGCAGCGTCCTAGGACTGCGGCCCCTGGGCCCCCGCTGTTGTGTGTCATTTGGGCCCCAGCCATGCATGGGAGATCTCTGACACAGGGACGCAGCTGTTAAAGCCCTCTTGGGGTTTTGTCACGTACAATCCTCTGAGGAATACTCCTTTTCTCTAATGGAATTCCAGTGCTTAAGCTTTCTAGCCACTCATGAAAAGAATCTCAGAAAGGAAAGGAGACCTGTCCTCTCTGCCACCAAGCAGGGGAGTGAGCCGACACTGTGAACGTAACGCTGAGAAAGTGGCTTGTGGGAAATGTGTAACCAGTTCTGAGTTGTGGGATTACAAGGCTGTCTGTGTGGAATCTTACTGTACCAAGTGGTCTTTTAAGACACATACGTCGTGGGTTGTTTCCTTGTGTTTTGAAACTGACCAAAACCCCTCAGTATTTGCAGTTCTGATTGCTTTCTTAATTTGTTATCCAGGTTTCCTGACATCCATTTTTTTAAGTTTAAAGTGCAATTTTCTCATCTTCCCTTTACATAAAAGTGAACGTGGGCAAGCCACTTAACCCATCACCAAATAGAAAATCATCTGGAACATTCACATGAATGCTGTTTTCAAGCAGCAACAGTGCATATATTTTTATGCCCGTTACCAGTGAAAACTATAATGTTTTCTTATTGTGCTGTTTTTTTCTCATCTGGCAAAATTACAAGCAATTAGAAAAGCCCCTCAAATCACACATTTTGTGAAATTACAAATGCAGAACCGGAAAGGAGAATAAGGTGTGCGTGATTCTACTTACGCTTTAAAATGAGAGTAGTTCATGGTCTGATCCCTCACTCTCTTGCATTTGGTAATAACTTTCAGTGTGTGAACGTGTGGGCCCCCAGTCTTCATCCGGGCAGCCACAGGTGTGACCAGTGACGCCTGAATGGAATATGGGCAGAGCTTCTGGAAGACTTGCTGTCGATTTCTGAGACAGGCTTCTCGAGGCTGAGCCGAGGCAGTTCTGCACAGACGCTCGTCTGCCTTGGGCGGCAACCAGCTCTTCCCCCCGCCCCGCTCACCCCCCACCCCCTGGTGTCCTGTCAGCAGGTGGGCACCCTCAGCCTTCCCAGGCCAGCAAAGCCTGGGTCCCGGACGTCTCTGCATCTGGAGCTGGGGGTCAGGTGATCTGGCATCTCAGGGGACCTTGCTAACAGGACCCATCCTGCCTCTTCGATTGTTACACATAAAGAACTTTGATTTTCAGTCAATGTCAGGAGTTTGTTGCCATCTTAAACGGCCTCTGTGCTTGGCGTGGTCTTTTCCTTAACCTC